CGCTCTCGACAGCTCCTGAGCGCCAGCTGCACCACCGGCGAGCAGCACCTCGAGATGACCATGAAGGTGAGTAAGTGAGCCGCACGAAACTGCCCGCGCAGCTCGACATCGTCCACGGGCGGAATTGGCACTCTGCCGTCAGCAAAGCCCTTCAGCCCGACGACCTCCAGCTGAGGTTCTATCGACTCTCTCCATGTGATGAGGTCCCGTCGACCTTGCAGCGGTGCGACGGTGATTCGGTCCGGCGAGAACTTGAAGTAGCCATACGCCGGTTCAATCCCGCCCGCCGTCACATGAGTCGTCGCCGAGAACCCTCCACCGCTTCGTAGAGGAGAGTGACGTCGACCATCGACGTCGGCACGCGAGCTGCCTGCAGCCGCCGTCGACCGCTGCACTCGCGCCTGAATCCTGTCGACGCCACCGTCGACCTTGATCACCCCTCTCTGCTTCGTGCCTTCGCTGCCGCTGACTCGTGCACCGCCGTCGACCTCGTCGTCGAAGCCACCTTCGTTTCGTACCGGTCGAGGAGATGCAGGACGGGAAGGGTGTTCCGTCGCCCACTGCGACCGGATGCCCAACTCGACGATCAGCAAGGTGATCGTCCCGTACTCGCCATCTGCGTGGCGTTTCCTCGCATCAGCCAGGCGTGCCTCCAAGGTGTCCGCTACTCCCGCATCAGCCACAGGGTCGACCATGGTGGCTAACGCGGCTGCCGGCCTACAAACGACTTAGTAGGTGCAAAGGTTGGCTCCTATCTGAAGGTCGTGTGTTCGATCCACGCTCACCGCACCATGCGGAGAATCACTCTACAACGGTAATGAGCTAGACTTCTGGGGTTGGCACGAACTACTAGGAGTGATCGTAGCTTTGCTTAGTTCCTTAGTGCTTGCGCAGTTACGGGAGAAATCGGCAAGAGTTTCCACTAGCAAAGTTGGAATTACAGAATGATTGAACAAGCAATGGCAGAATGACTACATCAGGCACCTAGCAACCCTGCAGCTAGCCTGGTCGACCGCCAGCACAGCTTGGTCGACCGCCTGCCAGCGTTGCGTAGAGGAGCCGCGCCAGCAATGCAGAAAGGCGACCTGCCAACACTGCAGGTCGACGACGTGCCAACGCGGCAGCAGAACGGATGTCCAGCGTTGCCCCGTAGAAGACAGCAGTGCGCACGCTCGCATGTGCGCGCAGACGATTGGCCCGACTTGCACCGTTGTGCATCCGTCGGCATACCAACCCGAAGTCGCCTTCGCCATCGCGACCTCGACGACGTTCGCGTGCCCCCGCAGAACTCGTCGAGCAGGTTACCCGGTCGACCTGGTCGACCACCAAGTGCTCTGGTTGACCACCAGGTGCCTCCGGTCGACCACCAGGTGCCTCTCGTCGACCACCAGGTGCCTCTGGTCGACCACCAGGTGCCTCTTGTCGAACACAACTCCTGTCGAGCTACCCCCTGGTCGACGGACCCCTTCCGTCGACCAGAATTGTCAGCTCTTGTCGCCGAGCTCCCCTCGTCGACCGCTGCTCACTTGTCAGGTCGACGGACTGCTCCGTCAACCTCCCGGTCGAACTGCCCCTCCTGGTCGACGGCCCACCCGTCGCCCAGGACAGTCTGCTGCAGCTGTCGAGCTCCCTGGTCGAAAGCAACACCATAGCGGTCCCCTGCAGCTCGACGAAGCCCGTCGAGCAGCTCTCCCACTGTGCACGGTCGGCTGCTTCTCCCGTACATCCGACCAAGTCGTCGGCGTTGCCCAAGCGAGGGCGGGGCCAACACTCCATTCCCGTTAACAGCCGCGACGTCGGCCCTTGCCAGTACCGGATCCTGACTGGCCCTAGTGCTGGCACTGCCTGCTGGCGTCCTGACCACTCTGCACAGCGCTGCTACAGCCGCCTCGACGACCTCTACCGTGAGCGTTTTGGGCCTGAGTCGAGGCCACCGATCTGGCCCGGTCTGTGTCATAGTGGTTACCATGTGTTTGATATGTCTGTGGATGCTGGTTATTCTATCACGAAACTTGGTGGGTGTTGGATACATTCAGGACCGTCGCAACATAGTCAATTTTCTTGTGCACGGGAGGACGGCGATCTATACGGATGCTTCCACCGAGGTACTTCTTGCCACGTTCACCACGGAGCCCCTCTCAGGTCTCTTTGTTTTGCACGCTGCGTCCCACCAGGTAGCAGAGTCCGGTCAGGTTACTGCGCCCCCCCAGGTAGCAGAGTCCGGTCGTGTTACTGCGTCCCCGTAGGTTGATGTGTCCAGTCAGGTTGTTGTGTCCGGTCTAGTTGATGCGTCCTGCTCCTGTCGGTCACTCTTCCACCCGACAGTCTTGTGGCACCACCGTCTTGGTCACCCGTCCCTCCCACGCCTCCGTATCATGGCCAGCCAGCGTCTTGTCTCTGGTCTCCCACGGGTCTTTGAGTCGCTCCCCCGTTCGCCTGCGCCTCCGTGCACTCCTTGCGTCGAGGGTCGGTTGCGCGCCACTCCTCACTCCTCCTCCCCTCGTCCGGCCACATCTCCCTTCCAGACCCTCGACTTGGATGTCTGGAGCCCAGCCCCTCGTCTTGGGCCTGAGCAGGAGCGCTACTTTCTGGTGGTCGTTGACGACTACTCCAGGTACACCACGTTGTTTCTTCTTGCTAAGAAGTCCGAGGTGACTTCTACGCTGATTCGGTGGCTCCTGGCCATTGAGGACACTCGTGGTCGTCGTTCAGTTGTCTCCACTCCGACCGTGGGGGTGAGTTCCGCTCCGACGTACTTGCCGGGTCTGCGGCGAGTAGGGCATTAGACAGTCCTGGACGCTTCCGGAGTCCCCACAACAGAATGGGGTTGCTGAGCGCCGCATTGGCTTGGTCATGGAGATCGCCCGCACCTCCATGATCCATGCCCGTGTGCCCCATTTTCTGTGGCCCTACGTGGTTCGCTACGCCGCCCACGAGCTGAACCTCTGGCCTCGTGTCTCACGTCCAGGGGATTCACCGACCAGTCTTTGGACCGGGTCCCCTGGTGTTGCGTCGGAGTTTCGTGTCTGGGGCTGCCTTGCGCTTGTCCGCGACACCTCTGCGGATAAGCTCTCGGCTCGCGCCATCCCCTGTGTCTTTCTTGGTTTCCCGGTGGACTCTCCTGACTTTTCGTTTTACCACCCGCCCCTCCACCGTTTCCTCGACTCCCGTGACGTCGGGTTTGATGAGTCGGTGACCTACAACACTCGGTACTCCTGTCGAGGTCTCCTGGTCCCCCCTCCTCCTCTTTTCCTTGCACCTTCTCCTCCTCCTCCTCCCGCTCCGCCGGTCCCCCCACCCCCCCCTGGTCCTGCCCCGTCCGGTGTGTCTCACGCTACCCCTCTACCCTCGGTCGCGCGTCAGGTAGCGTCTCCCTCCCCGTAGTCTTCCTCACAGTCCCCTCAGCAGCCTTCGGCACTTCCGCGACAGGTTACTGTGGACTCAGGGGGTGTTAGAGCCAGTGGAGGTACTCGGTCTGGGGGTGCTCTCTTGAGGGGTGCTGGAGTTGGAGGTGCTGGCACTGGAGGTGCTAGTTCGAAGGGTGCTGGAGCTGGAGATGCTAGCACTAGTGGCGCTAGTTCTGGGGGTGCTGGAGCTGGAGGTGCTGGCACTGGAGGTGCTAGTTCTCGGGGTGCTGGAGCTGGAGGTACTGGCACTGGAGGTGCTGGAACTGGAGGTGCTAGTTTCGAGGAGACTGGAGCTGGAGGCAACTACTACTGCACCTCCCCACCGCCACGACACACGTCTCCTACTGCGTACGGTCCTACGTTTCCTCCTCCGGACACAGCGTCAGAGCGGCGCGGCTCGGCAGGGCGGCGCAGCTCGGCCGGGCGGCGCGGCTCGAGCGGTGCGGCGCGGCTCGGGCTGCGCCGCGCGGCTCGGGCACGGCGGGGCAGTGCGGCGCTGGCAGCAGCAGTAGCGTAGCAGCGGCTGCAATGCACGCAGGGCGGGCAAGTCACTTAGGGCAGCGCGGGTAGGGCACTTAGGGCCGCGGGCGGGCTGTGCAGGCAGAGCGCGGGCAGGGCAGGCCTTAGTGGCAGCGCGCAGGCGACGCCAGCGGCGTGCGGGCAGTGCGCGAGCAGGGCGGGCAGTGCGCAGGCAGGGCGCCGGCGGTGCAGGCAGCGCGTGGGCAAGGGCAGGAAATGCAGCGGGGCAGCAGCAGCAGCGCGCGGGCAGTGCAGGCAGTGCGCGGGCAGCGCAGGCAGCTTGTGGGTAGGGCGCGCGTAGGCCTAAGGCAGCGCGAGCAGGCCGCTAGCAGGGCAGCGAGTGGGTCGCGCGCTAGGCAGCTGCGCGGGCAGCGCGACGGGCAGGGCAGGCCGTGCAGGGCAGTGCAAGCAGGGCAGGGCAGTACGGGCAATTCGGGCAGGTCGAAAAGCTATCGGTGGGCTCTAACGGAGCGGTCCTACGGACGGACCCGCTCTGAATACCATGTCAGAAGTAGGAACGTAAGAATGAACTAGAATGAGGACAGTACAGGATTGTATAGTCCTAACCCTAAAGTGTTGTACCCTTTAGGGTATGCCCCACTACAGTCTACAGAGCACAAATACAATTTGACAAGCGCTTATAATAGAATTCCAGCCATAAGCACCATGCTCCAGATAGAAGCGCCGGCGCCTTTAATCAGACGGCGCCTATATCCGGGGTCATACGGTAATCTTGTATTTCACTCAAGGAAGCACAAACACCTTATAATCCTTATTTCACTCAAGGAAGCACATACAAACGCTCCGTTAAAAGGCAGTCAGTCCATCGTGGAGCAAGCTGTAAGCAAGCAACCAGAGGCGCATCACTGACTGCGTGAATGAGTCATTGCGCTGCTGGAAACCTTTCTCTTCATCTGCACATCACACGAGGATGACTTCTAGGCGCGGGCACGGAGTGGCCTCCACAAGTCCTGCAGGAGACAGTCGGGCGCCTTCGCCCCCTCCCCCCCTCTCACCCCCTCACCCCCAACCCCCCTGTCTTCAACCCCCAAACCCCCAGCAGCGTGCATCAGATCAGACTAGGATGACTTCAAGGCGTGGGCACGGAGTGGCCTCCACAAAGTCCTGCAGCTGGCGGTCGCGGCGGAAGGCGCCCGACCCGTGCAGCACCATCTCCTGTGACGACTCCACTGGGTACACCCGCAGCACGCGCACCGCTGCTGCCCCGCCCGTGGACAGAGCGTCGGGGCGGTGGCCGTGCCAGAGGGGGCGGTAGCCCAGGCGGTGGTAGAGGTGGTAGATGGCCCGCACGAGGTGCGCCATGGTGAGCTCTGATGACCTGCACGGGGGGGTTGGAGGGCATAAGGGGGAGAAGGCTTTAGAGACGTCTCAAGAGGCGGTAGATGGCCCGCACGAGGTGCGCCATGGTGAGCTCCGATGACCTGTGCAGGGGGGTGGCGAGGGAAAGGGGGAGGGTGTGGGAAACGGGGAGGAGAGGGAGGAAGGAGGAGAATGCGCCATTGATTACAGGGGAAAACAAACACATACAAGATGCCCGGCTAAAGAAGATGAGATTTGAGTTCACTTGAGAGATTATGAAACAGCCTATGTGTGATAATGAATGCATGCATGCATGTATGCTCACTGTTTGAGCTCCGATGCTCATGTGCCTGTGAGCCTCCTTAGGGTGTGTACTTGAGAGAGACGCAGGCGACCCATGTGAGAGGAGATGGTGGGGATGGTGGGGATGGTGGGGATGGAGACCCATGTGAGAGAAGTTGGGGGAGATGGAGGGGCTTACTTGAGGAAGAGGGAGTGAAAGGCGAAGGTGCCTCGCTCGCGCACGTAGAGGTGGTAGAGGGTCGTGTTGGTGCCCTCCTCCCAGCACCGACACACCTTCCTCGTGCTGCTCTCATCCCATGCCACCAGTTGCTGCCGTTCACGTGCGGATTGTCATGCGCCCAATGCCATTTTCCTAATGCCATGTCCCAAGCGCCATTGCCATGATGCCAATACGAAACAAGAAAACAGATCAACAGCAGTGCGTTGGAGGAGACGTTCAGGCATGTGGTTGTTATCCGCATGGAAAACAGCAGAGCGATAGGGAGGACAGCAGAGAGAAAGGAAGAGTACAGAGCGGCAAGGAAGACAGCATAGTGGCGAGGTGGACACACCTTGGTGGCGAGGTGGACACACCTTGGTGGCGAGGTGGACACACCTTGGTGGCGAGGTGAATGCAGAGGCGGCAGTGGCTTGGGACGATGGAGAGGTCGAGGAGGGCGAGGAAGGCATCAGAGGGCACGTCGGCCTTCCAGCGCGTCATGTCGCTGTAGGTGCGCTGCGACTGCTGCAGGTACCCCGCCCACTCCCCCACCTGCCTCACCTCGTCGCCCCGCCTCACCTGCCTGCTCGTTCCGTGCAGGTAGGTGTGGGAGGGAGCGAGCAAGGGAGGGAGGGAGGGAGGGAGGGAGGGAGGGAGGGAGGGAGGGAGGGGTGGAAGGAAATTAAAACTCGCATTAGTCTCAGAAAACCAGAGAAAAGAATTATAACAACTGGCTAGCCGCGAAGAAGATTGGAAAGGATTGGCACGCTTCACGGAGGGAGATGCGACGACACCAAGTCACGGATGAGGCGAGTGCAGCAAGGATTGCAACACTGTTCATGCGCGCAGTAAGGATTGCAACAGTGTTCATGTGTGCAGCAAGGATTGCAACACTGTTCAAGCGTGCAGCAAGGATTGCAACACTGTTCATTCCTGCAGCAAGGAGTGCAACACTGTTCATGTGTGCAGCAAGGAGTGCAACACTGTTCATGTGTGCAGCAAGGAGTGCAACACTGTTCATGCCTGCAGCACCCAGCACCTGCAGGAGGCTTGGGACACTGTTGAAGCGTGCAAGAAGGTCTGAAACTGATTGAGATTCTGGTGGCAAGTGCAGCACCTGCAGGAAGACGTTGTCAGCCGGGGAGAAGAGCGCGATGCTGCCCTTGGCGACCACGAGGGGCACGGTGCCGCACGCCAGCGCGGCCCAGAAGTGCGGCGACATGACGTGCAGCGGCGCCAGCTCCTCAAACAGCAGTGCAAAGCGGTGGTCGCACAGCCGCCGCTGCACCTCGGCTGGCGAGGCGTGGCCGGGGTCGGAGGCGGGCAGGTTGGGACCCAGCGTCTGCACGGGCACGTCCTGCCGCTCCACCTGTGCTATGAAGTCGAGCCTGGTGGTGGGTGGCAGGGGATTGGAAGGGAGAAGGCTGGTGTCAGAGGTGGGTAGGCAGGGGCCGCGCGTCTGCACGGGCAACCCCTGGCGCTCCACCTGTAACAAAGTCCAGCCTGGTGGTGGGGCGGTGCGGTGCGGTGCGGTGCACGTGAGCGGGTTGGCAGGAGGGCAGACAGAAGGAGGTAGAGAGGCAGGGGGGGATTGGAAAGGAGAGGGCAGGGGTGGGGTGACGGGTAGGCAGGGGCTCAGCGTGTGCAGGGGCTCAGCGTGTGCAGGGGCTCAGCGTGTGCCCAAACGCCACTCACCTCAGCACATTCCCAAACGCCACTCACCTCAGCACACTCCCAAACGCCACTCACCTCAGCACACTCCCAAACGCCACTCACCTCAGCACACTCCCAAACGCCACTCACCTCAGCACACTCCCAAACGCCACTCACCTCAGCACACTCCCAAACGCCACTCACCTCAGCACACTCCCAAACGCCACTCACCTCAGCACACTCCCAAACGCCACTCACCTCAGCATACTCCCAAACGCCACTCACCTCAGCACACTCCCAAACGCCACTCACCTCAGCACACTCCCAAACGCCACTCACCTCAGCACACTCCCAAACGCCACTCACCTCAGCACATTCCCAAACGCCACTCACCTCAGCACACTCCCAAACGCCACTCACATTAGCACACTCCCAAACGCCACTCACCTCAGCACACTCCCAAACGCCACTCACCTCAGCACACTCCCAAACGCCACTCACCTCAGCACACTACCACCCCAAACCCCTGTCACCTTAGCTGCTCCGAGCACTCGTAGTGGTAAGCAGGCCTGTACCTGAGCTGTGCAGACTAGCCAAAGATGATGTATCCCCTGCCTGAAAAAGCGTATGCCAAATTTGAGCCATACGTGTATAGAGGCGTACACACGGTTTGCGTATAGACGCTATACGCGTATACTCCAACTTAGGCCAGTACAGCCTTTTACATTCAATCACAAAGACCGCTCGAGATGGATGGGGAGGTGAGAGGATCGGAAGAACAGACCAAGAGTCGACAGTCAAGAAGCGGCAACGATGAGACTACAGGTCGGCAGTGAAAGGAAAGGAGGGCGGCGGGGAGGGTCAGAGCTGACTTGAGGTGCAGGCTGGAACAGAGACAGCTGAGGGACTGACTTGGGTGAGGAGGGGAGGGGAGGGGCGACTTGAGGTGCAGAGAGCAGTAGGTAATGGACCGACTCGAGTTGGGGGCTGGAGCAGGGGTGGGTGAGGGGCCGACGCGAGTTGGGGGCTGGAGCAGGGGTGGGTGAGGGGCCGACGCGAGTTGGGGGCTGGAGCAGGGGTGGGTGAGGGGCCGACGCGAGTTGGGGGCTGGAGCAGGGGTGGGTGAGGGGCCGACGCGAGTTGGGGGCTGGAGCAGGGGTGGGTGAGGGGCCGACGCGAGTTGGGGGCTGGAGCAGGGGTGGGTGAGGGGCCGACGCGAGTTGGGGGCTGGAGCAGGGGTGGGTGAGGGGCCGACGCGAGTTGGGGGCTGGAGCAGGGGTGGGTTGTTGGGTGCAAATTCACACTGCACGACATCCTGCCGTCTGTTTGTACGAGTATGCGTGTGCGAATGCATTTGGGTGTGAATGGAATGTTCGTGTGTTTGTTTGCTTTCGCAATTTTCGCTCGATGCATTTGCAGGTACTCGCGCAATGTGCGCTTCGGCACAACATTGTACGCGCTATGAACAGTGCAAGCAGAAAGGACGAGCTCGCAAAGGAACCCAAGATGGACGCTTTGCAGTTCGGTTGAATTGATTGCGCAGATTCAGTTCTATCCAACTCGAAATTGTACTGTTTTGTTTGGTTGACTATAGTGTAGCAGGGCAGGCACTATAGGGGTACAATTTAGGTGAAGGTTGGATGTTGTTTGTCTGTATCTGCATGCTACAGGGCCAGGGGAAACCAGCGGAACCAGCGTTTGGCTGGTTGGGCAAAGACAAAACAGGTTCTGTTTTTAGGACCTGAACCTGGTTGTTGTTTTCCCAGGTTGGAAAAACAGAACCAGAGGTTGTTTACCAACCTACCACCTGCTGTTTTGTCCAGCCAGGTTGGTTCTGTTGCTTAGAATTATTTGGGATCATCCCTGGTTGTTCCCAGGTTGATTCCCAAGGTCTGCTAGCTAGAACTATTTATTCCTTCTCTGTTTGTACCTGGATATAGTGAAATTGATTCAAGCGAATTCTTTCCTTGCTGGAATTTCGTTTCTACGCGATGCGACGGCGGAATGCTACCGAGTCAACGCTAGTACGCTAGCACTACGACGCTAGGCAAACGCTGTCCGAGTCATAACTTCGTAATGGCAGAACTTTTCGCGAGGCAACTTGGCTCTTTTGAAAGCTCTTAGAGTGAGCTTCGATATAGCGAGTTCTCAGCTTAATCCGATCGACGGTCTGCACGGCACGCTGCGCGACGTTCAAGGTACTCTTGCTGTTTTGACTAAGTCCCTCTTGATCCCTCTCTCTACATACTCGGACCCGAGGATAGGGGCTGGTCTTGTACCAAGCACCCAGGGACCCTTGGAGGTGACCCCGAGGAGAGGTTTTAAGTTGGATAACGTCTTAATAGCCTGAGTTTATTAGGCCCTTACACCAACAAGCTGGTATCAGAGCTGCGTTATAGTGATCCTTGTTATAGGTAGCTATGGCGGGAAAGGATTCGGCGGGAGCTAGTGAATCTTCAGCCCAAGATCGTAGCGGCAGCCAAGATTCTGGTGTTTCGGCGCCAAGGGGAGCGCGAACAAACCAGGGCTCGCTGATCAAGGAGGTGCTGAAAAACTTCACCGTCGAGAAGTTCAATGGTGAGGGCTATGATGATTGGGCCTGGAAAATGCAACTCTATTTCCGTCAGATTGGATTGCTGAAACTAATGATTGGGGAGGAGCCTAGACCAAGTGACCCCGCGCTGCAGGAAGAATGGGACGAGCGCTCCTCGGCTGGCTACTACTTAATGTCGCAGAGTTTGGAGCTGAACCAGCCTCTGCCTCAACTGCCCAGGGAGGAGGCAGCAGGCAGCAGGCAGCATCAAGAAAATGAACAGTCAGCAACGACCATGAAAGGCAAGGCGCATGTGAGTGTGCATACCTCCAAGCCCTCTGCCTCAACTGCCCCTGCAGCCGTCCGCACTCGCTTCCGTGCTTGCCCCACTCCCTCCGCCCCTCCCACTTCTCCCCCCTCCTCTTCCCCTTCTCCTCCCGCCTCTGCTCCCATTCCTCCACTCCCATCACCACCCGCACTCCCATCCTCCCCCCTTTCCCGCCCCCCTGCAATGCTTCCCAGCTTGGGCAGAGTCCACAGCTTGATGGAGCTGTCCCAGCTGCCTGATGCCAGCTGTGAGGATGGAAAGAGATGTTAGAGGAGAGACAGTGAGACATGATGCATGTGCATGAAGTCAAGTCAAATAGCATGTGACATGGGTGCGTGTGTGTGTGTGACATACTTTATGCGTGCATCAAGCAAAACATGTGACACTTACCGTATCCATCAGATCAGACTGCACCTTCACAGCAACCCACTGCAGTGCACGGCAGCAGTGGAGTGGTTGGTTGCGCATCCCCGCTTCTGCCATGAGTGCATGGCATGGCAGGGCAGCACATCATGCACATGTGACATGTATATGTGTGTCTATTAACGCGCATAAAAAACACACCGTACCTTATTGGCACGTGCGTTCACGGCAACGCATTGCACGGCAGCAGAGTGGCCTCGCATCACTGCCACCACCGATGCACGCAGCGAGGGAGGGCCGGTGGACGCCTGGGTGTTGTCTGCCGCCAGCTGGCAGAGAGGAAGGGAGGGAGAGCGGAGATGGAGTGGGAGAGGCGGGCGGGGGTAAGTGGAGGGAGGCAGATGGGGAGCAGGGCTGTTGTGGTGAGAGTAGGCGAGGCGGCGGCGAGAGAGGTGGGCTGTTGCTGCATCCGGTTGGCAAAAAAGGGCGTGCGAGGGAGGGGAGAGGGGCGTGGAGGAGGGGAGAGGGGCGTGCGGGGAAAGCCAGCAACAGCAGCAGCGAGAACCACAGGCTCCGTTTCCTCCACTGCACAAGGCACGCACATTTGAGAAATGCCATTTGAATCAAATGGTACAATTCCAAGGCGCACCAGCAGGAGGCACCCACCTGCTAGAGAAGAGGGGGAGGGGAAGCACCCACCTGCCAGAGAAGAGGGGGAGGGGAAGCACCCACCTGCCAGAGAAGAGGGGGAGGGGAAGCACCCACCTGCCAGAGAAGAGGGGGAGGGGAGGCACCAACCTGCCAGAGGCGTAGCGTGCGGTCCTTGGAAGCTGATACAAAGGCGCTGCCTGCTGCCATGGGACCATGGGTGACAAGGAAAGGGGGAAGGGGGGAGCAGGGGAGAGGAGAGGAAGGGCGGAAACGAGGGGGAGATATGAAAGTGGGTTATGAAAGATCAGAAGAGAATCAAGACGCTGTCGAAAGGTTAGTGCTGATAGGCAAGGTGAGACGGATGTTGAGAAAGGAGAAACAAAGGTTGGTCATTCATGGCAGCGCATGAATAACAAACTGAGTGATGCATCATATGTGCCATCCAGTGGGTTCTTCCGTACGAGATCACACGTGACTGGCAGCACACACACCGAGAGGGCGAAGGGAGAGAGAACACATGTGAGGGATAGGTGAGGGAGGGAGAAGGAGGGACATGGTGCACCTCGTCCATCGAGGCATGGCTCTCACATCCGCGCCCTCACTATCTCACTTGCTGCCTCTCAATGGTGCCTTGCATGCACGGTGCTGCTACTATGCTGTACATCCCCAGCTGACAGACAGCTGTGCCACACACACACACACACACACACACACACACACACACGCACGCACGCACGCACGCACGCACGTACGCACGCACGCAGGCACGCACACACACACACACACATACACACACACACACATACACACACACACACACACACACACGCGCACGCACACACACACACACGTGCCCTGCTGCACACGGAGTCATGCCATGCCGTGCCATGCCATACTATGCAGTGCCATGCAATGCCGTGCCATGCCATGCTATGCCGTGCCATGCCATGCTGTGCCATGCCATGCCGTGCCATGCCATTCCGTGCCATGCCATTCCGTGCCATGCCATGCCATGCCATGCCATGCCATTCCATGCCATGCCATGCCATTCCATGCCATGCCATGCCATGCCATGCCATGCCATGCCGTGCCGTGCCATGCCATGACATGCCATGCCGTGCCATGCCATGCCATGCCATGTCATTCTGTGCCGTGCCATGCCATGCCGTGCCATGCCGTGCTGTGCCGTGCCATGCCATGCCATGCCATGCCATGCCATGCCATGCTGTGCCATGCCATGCCATGCCATTCTGTGCCGTGCCATGCCATACGTGCCATGCCGTGCCATTCCGTGCCATGCCTTGCCATGCCTTGCCATGCCGTACCATGCCGTGCCATGTCATGTTGTGCCATGCCAAGCCTACCTGCCTGCCACCCCTCACTCACCGCACGTGCGAGTCATAGGAGCCGGTCACGATCACATTGCACCATGCAACAGTTCACAGGACGGTGAGGGAAGAGGGGAGAAGACGGGGAAGGGGGAGGAGGGGGCCAAGAAGAGTCATAGGAGCCGGTCACGACAACACTGCAGCATGCTACAGAGGGTGGGATGATGCAGTGGGGGGAACGGGGGTTTGGGGGAAGAAGGGAGAGCGGGCGGGGTGAAGTAGGATGGGCAGGGTGAGGCTATGGCCCTGCTTGTGGGATGAAAGGGGACTGTGTGGATGTTTTCAGCTTGGATTGACTCCAGTGGGGAGAGAGAGCGGGTTTCCGGACCCACCCAAACCTCAAGCAGGCAAGGGCTTTGCTTCCGACCCACCATTATGTTATAGTCACAGTAGGCTTCAATGTGCCTAAAACGAAGGATAGAGTGCACAGTCGGATTTCTGCACAGCGGCTTTAAACGTTCATAGCGTTCTGGTCACACCTTCAAATGACCTGATTCAAATTGGATCTAGAGCGTCTTAATGTCGCCTACAATAGGCAATTTAGATCGCACGAGTTCACCAAGAATTGATGACACAGCGTCGGTTTGAACGAACGGCACTATGGCAGCCACTATGGTCTTAGAACACAAGATAGGAAGAGTTACGAGTTGGGAATGACTCCCAGCTCCTACAAACCCCAAGAGCCGAGGTACAGTGATGTGGAACAGTGCCACACTGTCCCCAACCACGAAGGGTCTCGAAACTACCCTTCACAAGGGCCTACACCAAGTGTAATGTTACACTACACAAAGTAATGTAACTATTCTCTATATCTTGAGGTGTACCCTTTTTTCGCGAGCTTCGCGATCACTTGAATCTTGAGACCAGTGCTCTGGTTCTTCATCATAAACTCATCCTTGAGTTCTTTATGGGTCTGCTGCACACACCTGCGATACGCCGAACGTTCCACACACAACAAAACAGAAACCGCGCACGGGACACAAACAAACGAAGACGTAGACACGCGACTAGCGATAACTCGCTATTGACTCGACACACGCATTTGACATCATGACTCAACATTCACACAGTATTATAAGCATGAAATATATATTATCTCATGCCCTCATACTATGCACACACGCATGCACGGACATGGACAACAAGCCGAGTGCAAACCGTAGGTTGCACCAACACATTATTCACTCACTCGCTGCTTCCTCTGTGCCTGTCTCTCTCAAACTCCTAAGAACTAGGATGAGGACTTCAAGACGCTAGACGCGTATTCTGCAACTTAGCTCCCCTCCCTACTTCCCTCACCCCCTCCCTCCCCCCATGCATGTGCCCCTCGCCCCACCTATGAGGTCGATGGGCCGTACTGACCGAGCTACTTCACAAAGGAACCATTCAGGGTTCTCACATACCCTCCCCCCCCTCCCCCCCCCCCCTTCTTTCCCCTTTCTCCCCCCCCCCCCCCCACCCCGTTTCCCCCTCTTCCCCCCCCCCATGCATGCTCCCCTCGCTGCAGCTATGAGGACAGTGGGCCCTACTGGTCGGGCTACTTTAGCATCCGCCTATCGCTGAAGTGCCTCGCCCACTCCTGCAGCTCCCTGCAGCTGGTGCACTTCCTGCCCTCTGCCCTCTGAACCCACACTTGCGATGTGGTATGGTGTGGTGGGGTGGAATAGGATGAGGTGGTGTGGTTGGGGTGGGATGGGATGGGATGGTATGGGATGGGATGGGATGGGATGGGATGGGATGGAATGAGATGGGATGGGATGGTATGGCATGGTAAGGTATGGTATGGTATGGTATCGTATAGTATGGTATGGTATGGTATGGTATGTTATGGTATAGTATAGAATGGGATGGGATGGGATCAGATGGGATGGGATGGGATGGGATGGGATGTCACACTTAAATTGAGGCTTACTCCCTCCTTCAGCTCCTTGCTGCTGGTGCCTGCCCTCTAAACCCGCTTCTCGTGGTGTGGTGTGGTGTGTTGTGGTGTGGTGTAGCGTATTGTGGTGTGGTGTGGTGTGGGGTGTGTCAACGGGAGTTGTGTGTTGGCCCCATCCTCGCTTGGGCGGAGCCGACTTCCTGGTCGGGTGTACGGGAGGTGCAGCCGAACAGCACCTGTAGGCAACGCAGACTTGGGCGCGCAGGTCGACAGGTTTGGTCGACCTGCACGGGACCACTGCGAAGCCGCCGACTATGGGACACTGGCGGCCGACATCAACCGTGGTCGACGTGGTGGCAAACCGACCTTGGGAGGGGCGCCGACTTAGGAGGGCACCTATCTTAGGAGGGCGCCTATCTTAGGAGGGCGCCTATCTCGACCTGGAGGGCGCCGACTTGGTGGCGCAAACCTGGGAGGGCGCCGACCTGGTGGCGCCGACCTAGGCAGTCTGGTCAACCTGGCGTTTGTCGACCTGCAGTATAGTCAACTTGGGAGGTCGGCTGGTGGTGGTCGTCGACCTGGGCGGTCGACGGGCACGTGGTCGATGTGGTTGTCCCGGTCGACCAAGTTACACGGGCGACGGGGATCCGCAGAGGTGCGCGACAGTCGCCCAGGTGGTTATGGCGAAGTGGACCTTGGAGGTGGTATCCCGAGGTCGACGTGGCGGATCAGTTGCAGTCGTGCGCACGTGGTCGGCTTGGCGTCTGCGGTGTGCACGTGACGAGGCACAACACGCCAACCAGCTGCGAGCACGTGCGAAGCGGGTGCGGTGCTATCATGCGGGTGCAACGCTCTGCAGCCGCCTTGTTGCAGCGTTGGCACACCGTGGACTTGCAGTGTTGGCAGGCTATGGACTTTGCAGTGTTGGCACGCCGTGGACTTTGCACTGCTGGAGCGCGGTCGACCTTGTCGTGTTGGAACGTGGTCGACCGTGCTGTGCTGGCAGTCGACCTGCATGCTTGCTAGCATCTGATGTAGTCATTGTTGCTTTATCATGTTGAACCATTGTTGTGAACTTTCTCTAATGAAACTCTTGCCAATTTCCCCCGTGAATGCGCAAGTAGAGAGAACACACAAGGGACGCTATGATCACTCCCACAATCGTGCCTTTTCGTAGTCTAGCTCCCGTTGTATGAGTTATCTCTGCATGGTGCAGTGAGCGTGGACGGCCCCGCAAAATACCTGCAGATAGGAGCCGACTTTTGCACCTACTAAGTCATTCGTAGGCCGGCAGCTGTCCTAGTCGCCATGGTCGACCCCATAGTTGAGACGGGCGTAGCGGACACCCTGGAGACACGACTAGCTGATGCAAGGAGATCCCACAAGGCTGGCGAGTATGGGTCGACCCTCCCCTCGTTGAGCTGGGCATCCGCGCAAAGTGGGCGACAGATCACCCTTCCCGACCAGTTTCTCCTTGACCGGTGCGGAACAAAGGCGGCATCGACGAGGAGGTCAACGGCGGTGCCCAAGTCAGCAGCAGCGAGGGCACGAGGCAGATCGGAGTGATCGAGTTCGATGCGTAGCTGTACCTACTGAGCGATTCTAGGGACGGTGTTTCATTGTTTGACCTCACGTCTGGAGCCTCTCTCGCCCCACCCGCCACGGCTGACAGTGCGACTCGCTCACAATCACTTACCCGTGACGCAGCTGCTCGCCTAGCCGTTCGCAACCACCTGCCGTTAGCCGAACGCGCTCACTTTGGACAGCACAAGACTGCTAGAGCCCTGTACGACGCTGTAGTCGCTCGTTACTCCTCCCCGGCCTCTGCTGCTCTAGGCCGCCTTATACTGCCCTACCTGTTTCCCGAGCTGACCGCCTTTCCCACAGTTGCCGACCTCGTCACTCACCTTCGCACTAGTGACACTCGCTACCGCGCCGCG